GGATTGTTATCAGACTCCTTTATCCCTGCTCAGGTTAGCAAGAGGCCTCTACTGTACATAGATTATTAATAACACAGGTCATTTTCACTAAGTATAAAACTATCTTTTTAAAGTCACAGACCTAGCAGGGACTTAGCAGCTATTCTATACAGAAAATGTTAAGAAGCTGAACAAATGAAAAATTATATGGAAACATCTTGGTGATGGGTTAGAGATATAAAACCAAGAGGGACAAAAAAGATCTCTGCTTCACCTAGTGTGTGGCATGGGGAGTGCACCCCATAAATGTTCGTAAACTATACGGTGAAGCAGTGATTTCTAGAACAATCCCAGAATGACCAAAGGGAGTCCTCCGAGAATATAAAATTAGGTCCATCATAGAAAGTCTCATGGAACCTCCCTTTAAGTGTAATGGAAAGCGCTGCAGAATTCAGAAGTACAAGGACAATATATGTTGTAAACAAAATCCGTATGCTGATCAATAAAGGGGCATATGCTTCCAGCATTTTCTGGCCTGACAGCTCCTTTATTAGGGATCCCCAGGCTTGGCTCTGCCTTTTTGCGACCACTGACTAGAATGTCCATGGTTATTTATCTTAGCTTCTAAAAGCAGATTGTACTGCCAGGTGAATGAAAGAGACCTGAGGTTTGTATAATGATTTTACATTAGCAATAGCTTTGAACCTCTACTAAAAGAGTATTACATTAAAAACCCTCATATATCAGTAATTAGCTAGAAAGAATTTTATATAATGTGCAATTTCTTTTCAAGAACCCCAAAGGGATTTAATAACAGAACCCATTCAATGAGCTGCTTTGAAGGCCGGATGCACAAAATGATGTGCGTAGGTGTGTGCTACTGCTATTGATATTACTGTTATTGGCTGGGTTAGGGATTTTAATTCTCCATGTACACTAGCTATTGACATAATGCAGTCTCTTGATCTCCCTTTGATGAAGACTGAGATATATTTCTCTGAAGCAAAGAGAATACGTTTTTCAGGTATATTGGGCAATTAACATACAGTTGCAGATATTCAAATAATAGAGGTGATCTGATAGGTAGGGCTTGTCTTTTCTAATTAATTTTATTCTTTTCATAATTAAAAATACTTTTATCTTAAAATTCTAAATGAATAGACAATATAGGACTCATCTTAATTGGTATTTACCTAATTGGCCATATATTAAGCAAATATTAATTAGGTTAAGTAAGGCTCTAGCCAGTTTGGCTCAGTGGATAGAGTGTCAGCCTGAGGACTCAAGGCTCCCAAGTTCTGGTCAGGGCACATGCCTGGGTTGCAGGCTGGATCCCCCAGTAGGGGGCATGCAGGAGGCAGCCAGTCAATGATGTTTCCATCTCTCTCTCCCTTTCCCTTCCTCTCTGAAATCAATTTAAAAATATTTTTTAAAAAATTAGGCTAAATAATGAGTTATCAGGGAGAGGTGTCAGGCTGGAAAATTCGATGCACAATGTGGTTCTGTTCTTTTTGTTTGTTTGTTTTAGAAAAACCCAGACTTCCTATCTTAGTGGGTAGCATTCTGGCAATTGGGGTGGATGCTCTGTGAGGCTCTTGAAGTGAATCAGAACCAGCAAATATGTTGACACCTGCCCAGAAGTCTTCTTCTATTCAGTGGGAGAGGACAAAGCCAAAAATGAGAATGTAGAAGTCTTTTTCCTACAAAATAACTTAAGCTTAATAAAGCCCCCAAAAGAGTCTTAAGTTTAAATTTTATCCTTTAAGCAAAAACATTAATAACATTTTCTAATCCAAAAAGCAAGAAAATAATTGTAATTTTTCTTCATTATTTCTATTTAAACAGTGTGTGGGTTTATGTATACTAGAAGCTAAAAAGCTAATGTAACATATTACCGTAGGGAAGGGATACTATAATCATCCCAGCCCACTTCTCTTACCTTAACTCATAGCTCGAATATTTCTATTCTTGGGAAATTACTGCAGCTTTGGAACTAAGAACGTTGCTGGCGGATGAAGAATGATTCCGCAGCCTTTCATCCCTCACAATTTTCACACCATCTTTATTAGTCTAACTTTGCAATTGTGCCATCTAGTGTTCAAACGTCCTCAGTGCTATAGCTCAACTTCATTAGAAGCAAAATAATACAGGAAGTAAAAAGGCCTCAAGTACCTAGAAACCAGCAACTAAGAAGCCCTCAGAAAAAGAAAACCCTCTGCAGAAAAAAAGAAGCCTGTGGCATAAACTTAACTTTGTTTATTCCATAAAGGGCAAATCACTTTGGACAGCTAATTTTAAATAAAAACCCGATCAAAGGCAGTGAGAAAAAAATGAACAAACAAACAGACAAAAAACAGCAAGTTACCTTAAAAACTGTGCTTGGGGAGGGTAATGAATAGTTCATCACTGACATACTAAAACATATTTTTGTTAAATATACATATTTCTTATTGTCTCATTTATTTCATAAATTTTTTATATATTCTATGTGGTCATACAAATTATACATTGTATATATTGAAATTATATTTATTTTATATTTTATTTTTATATTTTACCTACCTATAACTTAACAAAATTGTCATTGACTTTGAACACAACCTAACCTGGTCATAAATTGGGTTGGGTTAGAGTGTGGTGTGGATTCGAGTGGAATCAAAAGATGAAAATAGTTTATTTTAATACTTGATTGGGCGGGTGTCAGGTGATTTACAACACAACACAACACAACACAACACAACACAGAAGGGCTTAGATATGCATGAAGTAGAGTGGTTTGCCAGGGGGGAAAATAGTGTCTTTCGTGTCTTACCATTAAGATTATTTTAGGTCTATCTTTAAAAAGAAATTGGGGAAAAGTATTTTTAGGAATTAATGAGTTTGTTCACAATTTTCAAGACATCTGGAAGACATGATTTTTATTTTCTTTACAAGCCTCTGAGATGACTTCTATATTGTCTATCAGTTGAGAATTTTAAGAGAAAAAGGAGTTAATTATGGAAAGAATAAAATTAGTTATTACAGGCCCTATCAGGTCACCTTTATTATTTTAATATCTGCAAAATGATTGACAGAATGCCTCCTTTGACTCACTTCAATGTGAAAATGGAAAACCTCTGCTCTTACCCTAATTCTGAGGAAGGTGAAGTCCATGGTCCAGTCCCACTATGAGATCTGGTCTCCCTGGCCTTCGTCAGCTCCTCAAGGACAGGACGCTTCCTCTCCCCTCGGTCTCTGTTTATCTGATTTGCGTTAATCAGGAAGGTCTTCTATTCTTCAGCTTTCACGCAGTTAATGCTTACACACACGCTTCAGATCTTGGCCCAAACATCATTTCCTCAGAGAAACAGCCTCTACATTAGTCCTCTGTTGATAGCATCTGATACTTTTCCTTATTACACCTTATGATTATGAACTTTTATTATCTGCTAAATATCTGCTGCCTACCCCCACTCACCTCAAGTTATAAGTTATAAGCAAGCTAGAATAATACATTCCTTTAACTCATTGGGGTCCTAGCCACTGTGTTTTCTGTAACGTCTAATACATATTAGCTCTGTGGGAAATGCCTGATGAAACCAACCTGAGTCCCAAACTGAGAGGCGAAATGCCATTGTCTCAGCCCACTTACTTTGGTGAAGTCAATGCTGCTTTCATGTGCTCTTGGGCCAACAGAATAGTCACAGAGGCAGGAAATCTCCGTGCCTCTGTTCCAGCTTGTCCAGGTATATCCCTCTGGCGAGTTGTCACTTTCCTTCAGCGAGGTCTGGGAGTGGGTGTATGTCCTCATTACTGACAAAAATCCCTGACCCCGTTCACTACCACTCTTCCCACTTCCTGGGAAGTGTGACCTTTTTACTCTCTGCGCACCATCACCCCTTCCCATTTTCCTGTCCCTCTGCCCGCAGATAAAAACAAAAAACAAAAAACAATAACAAAATACAGAAAAAGACAACCTCTCCTTTTTCTGTCTTTGCTGTCAGCCATCTTCATGGATTAATGGGGAATAGGGAAATACAGAAAACAAAATATAAAATAGCATCTCAGTAAATTATCTTGCCACTCTAATATTCAGCAGAGAATAAAAATTTTCTTTTCATGTTAAGTTTTCATTGTTTATTTTTGTAACACTTTCCTTTTCTTTCTAAAAGACTCTAAGCATCCCCAACTATCTTAGAATATTAGACAAGCAATCATGCTGATATTCAATCATGTTCAAAATGGGCTCTGCTTAAAAGCTGCAGCATATCATGGCAAGCCTCAGGTATCTATAACCAATCACCAGTGTCTTCTCAGGAATGAGAGATATTTTGAGAAATAAAGTTAAGATTCAGAAGTAATTATTTTGACATTAAATTTACACATGTGTAGATTTGGTATTTTTTGTTAATTGTGTTCTATTTTATTTAAAGTCTGGTATATACTTATTGTTTTCAAAAGTTAACACTTTTGCTTAACATCAAATATACACAAAAGCAAAATGCTGAACTTTCAAATATTTTCAAACCACACAGAATTGCAAGTGTCCTTCTATGCATGTTCCTTTCCTTCCCACCTGCGGTAGCATCTAGTAGGTATCCTCACATAACTATGTATTTCTTGAAAGCTGGATTGACTGATTTAATTGCAAATTCATATATAATTCTGAGACACACACACACACACACACACACACACACACACACACACACATCTATATATATAAAAGCCTAAGTGATTGTTATGAACAATAAACCAAACAATTGGATGACCAGTCACTATGATGCACACTGACCAACAAGGAACAGATGCTCAATGTAGGATATGCCCCCTGGTGGTCAATAAGCTCCCACAGCCAACCTCCTGCAGCTGGCCAACCTCCCGCAGTCCCTCCCCTGGACTGGGCGAGACGCCTCAATTGGTCCTGATTGCTGGCCAGGCTGAGGGACCCTACCTATGCTCTGGGCCTCTAATATATATATATAAAATAAAATACTATAAGGTTCAGTCCAAAAATGATCTTCACACTTCTCTCTCCCCAGCAACACGGATGTGCACACAGTGGCGTCACTTCTCAAACTGTATCTCCGAGAACTTCCAGAACCAGTGATTCCTTATGCGAAGTATGAAGATTTTCTGTCATGTGCCAAACTGCTCAGCAAGGAAGAGGAAGCTGTAAGTCTCTGCATTTATTTCTACTGAAGGCTTTTGTTTGAGGGTCTTTTGTCTTTATAATCTTTCCTTTGCCCTATCCTTGAATTGTGTTCCACTATTCTGTGTATTGACATCACACACATTTAGACTTAGCACACACATCTCAGGTTCCATTTTTAAACCCTTCTCTATCAGAAAGAAAAATATGACTGAATAATTGAAATTAGCCCTCCTTGCCACTATGCTCCCCGAAAAGGTTAATTGTGGTACCACATAGTCTATGAACAAAGTGGATAACTTACTTCATGTTCTCTTTTTCATGCTGTGCCTCTTAAATCACCTCAAACAATGACTCCTAAGAAATCCTACCTACTGCCTGTTGTTGTGAAAACAGCTCTATTGAGATACAACTCAGATACTATACAATCACCCATTTGAAGTGTACAATTCAGTATTTTTTATTATATTCTCAGCGTTCTGTTCCTGTCACCAAAATCTAATTATAGAATATTAGCACATTTTATCACCCCATAAACTTCATATCTGTTCCCCATCTTTTCCAAAGTCTTGGCAACTACTAATCAACTTTCTATCTCTATAAATTTGCCTATGTTAGACATTTCATTCAATATGTTGTCTTTTGTAACTGGTTTCTTCCACTGTTTTCAAGGTTCATCTACATTGTACCGTGTATTGGTATTTTATTTCCAAATAATATCCCATTATTTATTTATTTATCAGTTGCAAGACACATGTTTCCACTGATCTGCTTTTATTAATGATGCTGCTATAAACATGTATTCTCATTTCTCTTGGGTATATATATCTTGGAGGTAGAATTGTTGGGTCATATGTGACACTGTTTTCTGAAGAGGCTCCATCATGATGTAATTACCAATGTGTGCAGATCCCAATTTCTCTTTTGCCAACACTTGTTCTCTCTCTTTTTTATCATAGCCATTCTAATGTGTGTAAAGTAGTATATCATTGAGGTATGAGTTGCATTTCCCTCATGGTTAATGATTTTAAATATCTTCTCATGTACTTATTGATTATGGGTACATTTTTTTTGAGAAACATCATAGGCACATCATTTCCCCATTTTATTTCAGTTATTTATCTTATTAAGTTGTAAAAGTTCTTTATATAATTTAGATACATTTTCCTTATTAAGTCTGTGATTTGAAAATATTTTTTCCCATTCTATGATTTGTCTCTTCATTTTCTTGATTGGTATCCTTTGAAGAGCAAAAATTTTTAATGTTGATAAAGCCTAATTTATCCATTTTTCTTTTTTGTCACTTGTGCTTTTATTTGCTTACCTAAGAAGGTGTTGTTTAACACAGGTCACAAAGATTTACTCCCATTTTTTTAAGCTCTTTATAACGTTCGCTCTCACATTTAAGATGTGTGCTCCACTCTCAGTTAATTAGTGTTGATGGTGTGAGGAAAGGGTCCAGCATCATTCTTTGGCATGGGCACATCTAGTTGTCTCACCACCATTTGTTGAAGAGACTATCCCTTTTTTCCTATTGGATTTTCTTGGCAAGCTTGTCAAAATTGCTGCCTGTGTATTATATAATGTTGTCTGTGGTTGCTTTTGCACTAAAACAGAAGAGTGGAATAGTTGAGACAGAGACCATATGCCCCAGAAAGCTTAAATACTTACTGTCTGGCCCATTACAGCGAAAAGAACAAATCAGATTACATCATCCAATAGCTTTTCTGGGACCATTTATATTTCAGTGGAAGTTCTACAATGAGAAGAAACAAAGCATTTAATCCTTTTGTGAAATTTCCAGAAAGATCAGGCTTTCCAGCCCTGCATCCCACCCCAAACAAAGTGTCCTAGACATGACCAATTTTGAGAGACTTATTTGCCTATTGATATGTGTTTCTCTATGTTTGGGGCATGCTTAAAATGGGAAGGACTCTCAGTACATCAATACTACTTTTTATCCCCAATAACCTTTGTATAATTAAGGCTACCTCCCATTTTCAGGCAAGTATGAACAAATGCTTAAAATGTTAACAGGGCTTTGCTTAAATCTATTTCTCCACAATTAGTATTTATGGAATATTTGAAATTCTTTCACATCCTTGAAAATATTTCTAACATTCTTTCTGTGATGGTAGCAAGTTTTTAGGACAAGTTCCTACAGTGATAATATATGAAATTAATTTAAAACAACAACAACAACAAACAGCACTGGATATCTCCTTTTCCCTTAGGCTTTAATTCTAAGACCAATACTTAGAAAGGTAATATTTATTCTCTTTTTTTCTTTATACTCAGGGTGTTAAGGAATTAGCAAAGCAGGTGAAGAGTTTGCCAGTGGTCAATTATAATCTCCTCAAGTACATTTGCAGGTAAGAATTGTCCTAAACAAAACCAGACTATATTTAGCCTGATACTAACTTATGTTTGACAGTGAATGAAATCATTTTACTGCTTTGAGCTAGGATGTAGATCCTTGTAAAAATAAGAGGTTTGACAAAGTGATGTCAAAGGTTCTCTGAGCACTAAGAGTGCATGATTCTGTAATTTGTTATTTCTGAAGTCTCTCTGAGCTCCACATATTATAGCTATGGTTGCTTTGAACTTTAATCAAAGTTGTTTGTACAGATATCTTGTTCTATTGTTCAAGAGAAGAAATATGTTCCTTGGCATGACAAAGGTTTGCCTGAGAGGCCAGATTCTACCACTGACTACTTACTTATCTTTATGCAATTTCTTACTCTCTTTGAATCTAAGAGTCCTAATCGATTAAATGGTAGTAACAACACACATCTCACACATTTGTTTTAAAAATTAAATTATATTTTAACTAATTAGTGTATATATAATAAGTGCTCACTGCATTTTATTTCCTTTCAATTCCTCTCCCACCTCAGACTCATTGAAAAGAGATTTGCAATTCAATTGTTAGAAAAATAGCTGTGCCTGTCAAACCACTCTCTCAGCGACCATACTTATTTTAGAGCTGGGATGGAAGGCACCATGTCCATGCTCCTGTTTAAAAAAGCCAAACATAAAATCAAAACATATTAAATTTAAATAAAGAAATTGATGATTGACACGAATGCAGAATCTCTTAAATGATCACTACTGTACTGGATAATAAAAAGCTTAAATTCTCTTTAAGTAAAACGGGGAAAGGCTTTGAAAACTGTATTGCAAGTCTTTACCTTCACAATGGAAAAACTTAACTTCTCTTGAAACCTTTAAGCAGATTTTTTTAAAAAGGTATTTTATTTATTATTTTTTAAAATATATATTTTATTGATTTTTTACAGAAAGGAAGGGAGAGAGATAGAGAGCTAGAAACATCGATGAGAGAAACATCGACCAGCTGCCTCTTGCACACTTCCTATCGGGGATGTGCCCGCAACCGATGTACATGCCCTTGACTGGAATCGAACCTGGGACCTTTCAGTCTGCAGACCGACGCTCTACCACTGAGCCAAACTGGCTTCGGCTTAAGCAGATTTTTAATTTCAGCTATTTCAAATAAGAAATGGTAGTTTGACTTTATGTGCTTCAGTTTCACTATAGTTTAGTCTGTATAATAGGAATGAACATGTGGATACAGGCACCTTTTTGAAAAGTCATGGTGTAGTAATGAAGAGCATGGACTCTAGAGTCAGAACACTGGGGTTCAAATCTCAGCTCTTGCACTTCCTAATGGTGTCCTTGGAAAAGACTTTTTAACCTCTCTGGTGCCTCGTGTGTCTTACTTGTAGATTGGGGACAGTCATAGTACTTACCTCACAGGGATGCTGTGAGAATTTAACAAGTTAGCACAATGACTGGCACATAATAACATGCATTAAATAACACATAAATAAGATAACTGGTATTTTTCATCATTTCCTTTTTTGTCTTGTCGGTTAAATCTGTTAGCCATGAAAAACAGAAGTTCTTGCCAAAATGAAGTAGGGAGAGGGAATGAAAAAAAAAAAAAGAAAGAAAGAAAGAAAGAAATGCTAAAAGACTACAAAAACAACCCCTGCCACTAAACTCATTCAAGGAAAGCTGATTTCATGCCTCTTGGTCTTTAGCACCTAATAAATTGAAACAATTTCTGCTTGTAATTTTTATGTCAGTAGAAATGAGGTTTTAATTTTAAAAATGTTTGATCTCATCTTTTAACAGACTCTAAATGGAAAGCTCACAAACTATTCCACAAAGAGGAGTGATTCTTCCCCTCTGAAATAAGGGATTGTACCAGATGATCTTATTTATAATTCTCAAATTGAATACACATATTTAATACTTTATTGAGGCACTGGAAGGGGACTCATTCTTCTATCTAAGGCCATATTAGTATTATCCAAACATTTGTTTCTGTAACTGACAGAGGAAACCAAGTCAAGCCAGGCCAGAGGTGATATCTGATACAATTCCTCAAGTCTGATTCTTAACATATTTTCTCCACATTTGATTAAGAGATGTTTGAATCCCTAAATAATTTTCCCTGCATAATCATCACTTAACATTCTCGAGTTTATAAATGTTTTATAACTAGAAGCCTGGTGCATGAAATTTGTGCACTCTGTGGGGTTCCATCAGCCTGGCCTGCACCCTCTCACAGTCCAGGATGTACCATTACTGTGAAGGCGGGAAAGGCTCCCACCACCTTCGCTGCCTTCATCAGCCGTGAGTCCGGCGTCTGGCTGAGTGGCGCTCCCCCTGTGGAAGTGCAATGATCACCCGGGGGGCAGCTCCTGCGTTAAGCATCTGTCCTCCTGGTGGTCAGTGCACATCATAGCAACCAGTCATTCTGCTGTTCGGTTGATTTGCACATTAGCCTTTTATCATATAGGATGACTCATTTTATTCCATTGGCAAATTTAACCTCATTGTGTGTTGTTCACATTCTTGCACCCAACAGATTCTTGGATGAAGTACAATCCTATTCGGGTGTTAACAAAATGAGCGCGCAGAACTTGGCCACTGTCTTTGGCCCTAATATCCTGCGCCCCAAAATGGAAGATCCTTTGACTATCATGGAGGGTAAGTAAATGATTATCTATTACCCTCATAAAAAAAAATCACTGTCTCTTGATTGGCCTGAACTTAATGAGCAGATGAGAGAAATAAATAAGTCCATAATAATTCCACTTATTTTCTCAGGTTTTTTTAAGTGAAAAAAAATCTTCTCTTTGGGAGTCAGACTTTTTAAGTTTACTAAACATAATAATTGGCTGATTTCTCAGTAACCTTGTAAAAATAAATGGAGCTTCTATAAGTAATCTGTAAAATATTAGACAAGAACTAGAAAATTCAAGTTCATTTTTGAGTCCAATGTAATTGTCAGAAAATTCGAAAGTTACTATTTTAAGCTAATATGTTTCTTTTTATTAATTTTGGTTTATTTAACTGATGTTAAGAGGTAGAAAAATATGATCTTCTATAAGACAATGTTACTTATTTACTGAGAGTTTCTTTTACATAAGAAAAGAAAGGAAGGGAGAAGGAGATAGAGATAGAAACATCAATGGTGAGAGAGAATCATTGATTGGCTGCCTCCTGCATGCCAGGAATCAAACCACAACTACTGGTGCATAAGTTAATGTTCAACCACTGACCTACACTGGCCCAGCATACCTTTACTATTCTTTTATTTTATATATATATACTAATGGCCCTGTGCACGAAATTTGTGCACAGGGGGGTAGGGGAGTGAGATATCCCTCAGCTACCCTCTTCAAACTAGGACCCCTAAGGGGATGTCCAATTGCTTGCTTAGGCTCGATCCATTGCCCCCAACTGCCCCCCTTCAGCCTTCTCACCCCCAACTGCCCCCCACCAGCCTGCTCGCCCCCCAACTGCCCCTCACTAGTCTGCTCACCCCCAATTGTCCCCCAACCAGCCTGCTCAACCCCAACTGCCCTCCCTGCCTGGCCTGATTGCCCCTAACCACCTCTTGGCCCTGCCACCATGGCTTTGTCTGGAAGGATGTCCTGAATTTCTCCCAGTCTAATTAGCATATTACCCATATTCATAATGCAGTTTAGCATAGTCCTCTGCCCTCTATTTTCTATAAATTAGAACCTGGATCAAAGTCATGTCTGAGAATATTAACAAGACTATAGATTTTGTTTTATAACATCTGATTATCTTTATTTTGTATGATCTTAGTACAATTCTAAAGACTATTAATTCAGTTGATATTGAAACGGTGATTTCCTAATTCTATAATTGTTTTTCAATTTTACAAATTATGATAAAATAACCATATCATAAAATTTGCCACCATTTTTAGGTGTACAATTCAGTAGTATCATGTACATGCATATTGTCATGCTACTGTCACTACCATCCACCTTTACAACTCCCTTCATCTTGCAAAATTGAAACTCCATATCCATTAAACATAATGCCTCTCCTTCCCCAACTCCTGGCAACCCCATGCTACTTTCTGTTTCCATGCATTTTAGTACTAGTATATGCCTCATGTAAGTGGATTCGCAGAGTATTTGTCTTTCAGTGACTGGTTTATTTTAGTCAGCACGATGTCTTCAATGTTCATCTATATCGTAGCATCATAATGTTTTAACTTAATAATTGGGACACTTTTATTATAAACAAACAAACAAACAAAACCTCTTCTCCTCATCTACTACTTAGTAACCCAGTGTTAGCTTTCATAAATAAAAGACAGTCTTTCCCTTTTCTAGGTTTTAAATAAGGAAATAGATTGTTTTTTAACGGAATTTATTAACAAAACCATACACGTTTCAAGGGTGCAAATTCATCTGCACACTGCATCATGTGCCCATTGCCCAAAGCAAAGTCTCTTTCCATCCCTATTTATCCTGCTTTGCCCTCTTCTTTCCTCCAACTCCTTTTCCCTCTGGAAACCACCATACTGTTTTCTGTGTCTATGTATATAAAGTTTTGCTTAATCCCTTTACCTTTTTTTTTTCTACCCAGACCCCTACTCCCACCTCTCTGACAGCTATTAGTCTGTTCTATGTATCTATGCTTCTGTTTCTGTTCTGATTATTGATTTCATTCATTAGATTCCACATGTAAGTTAAGTCTTTCAGTGACTGGTTTATTTTAGTCAGCACGATGTCTTCAATGTTCATCTATATCGTAGCATCATAATGTTTTAACTTAATAATTGGGACACTTTTATTATAAACAAACAAACAAACAAAACCTCTTCTCCTCATCTACTACTTAGTAACATGGTGTTTGTCTTTCTTGACTGGCTTATGCACTTAGCATAATACTCTCCAGGTCCATCAAGCTGTGGCTTCTTTAACATTCTCTAACAGTGAGTTCTCTTCCTCATCCTTCTTATTCTTCTTCCTATTATAAATGTTATTATTAACATATTTGTAAAATGTAATTATGAACTCATGTATTTAAATCCATTTCATGAGTCAATGCATTTTAATTATTGTTCCTTGTAATTACTGTTTTCCATCTTTGGCCAGTGGAAGCACCTTCAACTAGCCTTCCCAGTCCTTTTGACAGGACCTAAATTGCTTTTGGTAGCTTCCTTTCTTTTTAGTATTTCAGATTTCCCAGGCTTATATATTTCCTGCCCCAAACCTGAATCAATTTCCAATTTTTTTTTTGTGGGAAATGATATTTTAAAACCAAGATACAGGTTCCAGTGATTCTCATTACTACTGGTTTGGTCATTTCTAGACTTTTCAATGGATGGAGCAAGTAGATATAAATGCTATTTACGAAATACTTATTACATGTACAATATACACACATATGTTAAAGACAAATTGTCTTCCAAGTTCACACTGTACTTCTAATTCAAAATCATGTCTATAGTGTTTTAATTTATTCTTTTCTCCACTATAATTTCATCACCTTCCAAATATGAGTCCTGGTTCTCAAAGACATTGGAAATTTCAAAATTCAAATATCTGATAAATAATAATTTGCTCCACCTCTTATCAAATACATAATAGTCTCAGAATAACAACAATATTACTATTAATACCAGTATGATTATTGCAAACATTTAAAAACTTTTTATATGTGATTTCCTAATTCTCCTTTTATTGTTCTACTAGAGCCCCAATGCACAAAATTTGTGCATGGGTAGGGTCCCTAGGCCTGGCAGGCAATTAGGGCCAATCAGGGCCTTCTGGTTTCCAGGCAGAGCCTTCCTTCCAGCTGCCATCCTGGGCCTCCCTTCCTGGCTGCCACCAGGCCTTCCTTCAGTCCGTGCCGCCCCCTGGTGGTTAGCACACAGCTTCTTAATATTATATTCTTCTGATGAGATTATGTTGATAGTGAGGCAATTAAATGTCTTTGATACTCTAAAATTAAAGGTACCAACATCTGTAGGCTCTGCATTTCTCGGTGAATTTTTCAAATGTATGCTGTCCTAAGCCAGGCATGTGTCGATGATCTGGTCAGCATGCAGGTTAGGTTCTCTGATTTCACAGAGCCAAATCTTCTGTTTTTCACAGAGTGCTACAATATGGCAGCTTGCTTTCTAAGATGTACTGGCTTAGTTCCAATCCTTGGTTTTAATTAACCTTCCCTTTCTTTTATCTTTATTGTCCTCGTCCTCCCTGCTTGATTTTGATTCCATTCGCAAGAGTTTCTCCCATGTGGAGTTTGGAAGGAGCTCTGGCTTGCAGTGATGACAGTTCACAGGTGCTAGATGGCTCTCACGTCTTCAGGCTTGTCCAGAGGTTGTTTCTATGGGATGAAGCACACTCCCTCCCAGCCTCACCTGCTGTTCTTAAATTAGCCCTTTGCATTTTGCAGCAAATACCTATCCTTTGGAGATGTTCTGTTCTCTGGCCCATTATTTCTCCCTCCTGCTTCCTCTCACACAGACGCCAACACCGTGGATGCCTTGTGACAACAGGGATTTGTCTGCGGCAGTTTCTTTTATGGGGTTTGGGAGGCTACCGTGCCACCAAGTTTTATTGTGAATGTTGTCCACCAATTGGGATTTGCTCACTAGGTGCTCTGTTTTTATGTGGGGATTTGGGGAGGTTCAATACTATGCTGCCACCATCTGCCCAGAAGTCAGTGATTTTTTTTTTTTTTGTATTTTTGTTTGAACTCTTATTGTTGCTGTTTAAAAGACGTCCTGTAAAAATTGCATGGTTCTGCCAAAGCCGGTTTGGCTCAGTGGTAGAGCGTCGGTCTGCGGACTGAAAGGTCCCAGGTTTGATTCCGGTCAGGGACATGTATGTTGGTTGCGGTCGATGTTTCTCTCTCATTGACGTTTCTGGCTCTCTATCTCTTTCCCTTCCTCTCTGTAAAAAATCAATAAAATATATATATTTTTAAAAATTGCATGGTTCACCCTCTCACTTCCCCTGCCAGTATTGACAGCAGAAGAGAGCGAAGCTGCTCTAGACAGAAGCAGAACCTTGAGCTCTGAGTTTCCTAGGGCACTGAAAAACCCCATTTCAACAGGAGTCCAGGGCCTCTTTCTGCCCCTAAGAAACCTGATGCCCAATGAGAAAAGTAATTTTCTCTAAATACAGTAATAATATGTGCACGGGATAGGTGCACAAATAGACAAGTAGGTTTTTTTGTTTTGTTTTTTAAGAATAGGGGGGAAATGGAACAGCAAAGTCATCTCACCTGTTGCTTTAATTTGCTCTGGTCATGAAAAGTCTTCATTCTGAGCTACAGCCATGGAGTTGAACACCACTCAGCCATAAAAAGAATGAACTACCCTCTAACCAGTTTGGCTCAGTGGATAGAGCATTGGCCTGTAGACTGAAGGGTCCCAGGTTCGATTCTGGTCAAGGGCATGTACCTTGGTTGCGGGCACATCCCTAAGTAGGGGGGTGTACAGGAGGCAGCTGATTGATGTTTCTCATCAATGTTTCTAACTCTCTATTCCTCTCCCTTTCTCTGTGTAAAAAATCAATAAAATACATGTATTTTAAAAAATGTACTATGAATACATGCAACAATGTGGACAAATGTCAGAATAATTATGCTAAGTGAATAATGCCTTCACAAGAAAGACCTCACACTGTATAATCTCATTTACATGAAATTATAGAAATAGAAAAACTTAGTGACAAAAAGCAGATCAGTGGTTGCCATAAGTGGGAGTTGGGGATAAGAAATTGGCTACCAAGGGGCACAGGGAATTTTCTATATTATGATAATATGGTGGTTCTTGGACTGGTATTTGTCAAAAATCACTATGTATTTTACAGATACCTGCACACATGCAAAATGACATGTATGAGGGTTTTCTTTGCAAAAACTAAATAAATTGAAATTAATTTCATAGAATAATGCCAAAGATATGTAGATGTAATGCACATTATATGTATTAAATACATGCTATACACTAAATATATATTATATATGTGTACACAAGTGTACTTTAAAGTTTCTAGGCAACTTTAAGGGAAGTTGAATTTTTATCCAAAGCTTATGAAGAATAATTCCTAAAGTAGTATTTCAGTTCAACCTGTATAAAATGATATGAGCGGGGAATTGCTGAATGGTGTAGCAGATGAGGCTCCTGAATTTGCTTGGACTCTTCAGAATAGTGATTATAATAAGCACTCTGACCTCGTTTGGTTTTCATGTTTCTCATTAGCATTCTAAAGAAGAGAATGATAGAAAGGAGGAACTATAAAGGGAAAGAAGTGATATACTTCATCATAACTACCAAGCTAATCTGTCCTAAATAGCAGTAAAAAATGGAGGGGGGGGGGGAGGAGAAGTTCCTTTACAAGAAATTTTTGCCATTTATTATTCCGGAGACAAGATAAAAGCAAAGCCTCCCCAAATAGAAGGGATTTCTCCATCTCCAGGGCGCTGACACTCACTCTGCAATTGTAGCTGACACACTTTGGCATCGCTGTCCACAGACTCGCCCTGGAGACCTTGGGGATGTCACTTTACAATTAAATGCCCCACAGAGTTCACAGCTTCGACGGGAAGCAGGGATGCCTCAAATATTAATATTCCAGTGACAGGAAAAAGCTAAATTTTTCCAAATTACTAGGCAGACTCTATACACTGGAGCCTGCTAACATGGTAAAGTGTGCCAATCTTAAGGGCAAATAGTAAACTAGAACTATGTATGATGTACACAGTACATGATGGTCACAGTGTTGACAGCCATTTTAGCACTACCAAAATCTTTTCATCAGAGTCACTGCTGCATTCATTGGAAGTAGGATGACAAATTCAGAAATTACTAAAAAGAAAGATGGCTTTTTTTCTTCCACAACTCTGTAACAATTGATGATGATTTAAAAACTGTCCTATATTTAGTTTATTTAGAAAAACATCAAGTTTACTTATCATTACTACAATTTAAATACAACAGCTGAAATATAGTAGAACAAGAACTACATGGAGTAAAAAGTCTAAGTATCAAATTTCATCTAGGTCACTTACTATCTATATGGCCCTGAGCAGAAGCTTAAGCTCTCTGAACTCCAGCTTTCTTTCTTTCTTTCTTTCTTTCTTTCTTTCTTTCTTTCTTTCTTTCTTTCTTTCTTTCTTTCTTTCTTTCTTTCTTTCTTTCTTTCTTTCTTTCTTCCTAAATATATTTTATTGATTTTTTACAGAGAGAAAGGGAGAGAGAGATAGAGAGCTAGAAACGTCGATGAGAGAGAAACATCGACCAGCTGCTTCTTGCATACCCCCTACTGGGGATGTGCCTGCAACCAAGGTACATACCCTTGACTGGAATCGAACCTGGGACCTTTCAGTCCACAGACCGACACTCTACCACTGAACCAAACTGGTTTTGGCTGAGCTCCAGCTTTCTCATGTGAAAAATGTTAAGTCCTATCTTACAGTCTTTTGAGAAACTTAATTTAGACACTATAAGTGAAACATTCCCATGTAGCACAGTGTGTCTCAGACTCTGACACAGAAGTCACCCTGGGGATATTGTCAAAATGCAGATTCTGGCTCAGAAGGCCCTCAGTGGGCCCTGAGATTGCGAAGTTTCCAGGTGAGGCCCTCGCTCCTGTGCTGTGATAGCTGGTGTCCTCTGGGAGCTGGTTAGGAATATAAAGTCGTGTGCCCCACCTAATGCCTACACTTAGACAGAATCTCCAAATAATTTGTATAAATATTAGTGTTTCAGCAACATTGATCCAGCACCAGGCCTGGCACATGGCAGATCTTGTTTTAAATATAAGTTTTGAATCGTCACAGAAGAAATGTGCAAAACTGAGAGAGATATAACACATTTTTCCTGTGCAAAATTTGATTTGATTTATATTCAGAGTCAAGTCTCGCCTACGTCTTGTTTTAAGCTAAAGAATGGCCTCTCCCCCACATAAGGTTTGTAAGTCTGACAGCCACTCAGTTAGCAGCTATTTCTGTGGAAATCTGCATTTTCAAAAGCCCTTGTCATCATTTTCTTCACCAGATCTCATGGTTTAAATATTTTATGTAGAAACTACATTTACTTAACTAAAATTTAAATTTATTCCCCATTTGTACATATCAGACATTAATTACTCTTTCAAACTTCCATCAACATGATATAAACTGAGTTTATATCACATTAATACAGTTCAACCCAAAGCAAAGATGATTGATGTTTGCATTAGCCTAAACTGCTTTATTGTGGGTACATGAATAACATTAATACTTAAGAAGATTCTTAGGGACATTATGGCCCCCAAGTAAGGAAACTAGTTTAGAAGCCTGGTTTATGGTGACAGCCAGTTTTAAGGGATTGGAATCCAGATTGTAAATCAGTGAGAAATATATAAAATGTATTTGGAATTTCAGCTAATATACCATTAATCTGATAAACCCATTAATTTTTAAATAAATTATTGCTTTTGATAATAGATCAATTTTTCTATTCATTTTTTTGAGTTATTTTACCTGCTGTGACAACGATTACGTGCTTGGTAGAGTTCATGGTACATGTTCAAGAAATTTTAGTTTCTGTTGCCATTATCATCATTAAGAATATAGTTCAGCACGGCTACTAATCATGTTGAATGTTCACCTGAACGTGGTCCTTTAAGGATTACCTTCGAAATGGGGAATAAATCCAAACTACTTCACTCATATGACTTTGTTTTCCATGCAATTCTAGGCACCGTGGTGGTCCAGCAGCTGATGTCAGTGATGATTAGCAAGCATGATCGCCTTTTTCCCAAAGACGCGGAACTGCAAAGCAAGCCCCAAGACGGCATGAGCAACAACAACAATGATATTCAGAAGAAAACCAGCATGGGCCAGCTACAGAACAAAGAGAACAACAATACCAAGGACAGTCCTGTGAGGCAGTGCTCTTGGGAGAAGTCCGAATCTCCCCAGAGAAGCAGCATGGATAACGGCTCCCCCACAGCGCCGTCAGGCAGCAAAACCAACAGCCCGAGGAACAGCGTTCACAAGCCGGATGTCTCCAGGAGCCCCCCTCTTATGGTCAAAAAGAACCCCGCCTTCAACAAGGGCAGTGGCATTGTCACCAACGGGTCCTTCAGCAGCAGCAATGCAGAAGGTCTGGAGAAAGCCCAAACCACCCCCAATGGGAGCTTACAGGCCAGAAGGACCTCATCCCTGAAGGGCTCTGGCACCAAAATGGGCACCCACAGTGTGCAGAATGGAACGGTGCGCATGGGCATCTTGAACAGCGACTCGTTGGGGAACCCCATGAGCAGCCGCGGCATGTCCTGGCTGCCCAACGGCTACGTGACCCTGAGAGATAACAAGCAGAAGGAGCACACGGGAGAGTCGGGCCAGCACAACAGGCTCTCCACCTACGACAACGTCCACCAGCAGTTCTCCATGATGAACCTGGATGACAAGCAGAGCGTTGACAGTGCCACCTGGTCCACCTCCTCCTGTGAAATCTCCCTCCCCGAGAACTCCAACTCCTGTCGCTCCTCCACCACCACCTGTCCGGAGCAAGACTTTTATGGGGGGAACTTTGAGGACCCTGTGCTGGATGGGCCCCCGCAGGACGATCTTTCCCACCCGGGGGACTATGAGAACAAGAGTGACCGGAGGAGTGTGGGAGGTCGAAGCAGTCGTGCCACCAGCAGCAGCGACAACAGCGAGACGTTTGTGGGCAACAACAGCAGCGGCAACCACAGCGCACTGCACAGTTTGGTGTCCAGCCTGAAGCAGGAAATGACCAAGCAGAAGATAGAGTATGAGTCCAAGATAAAGAGGTGAGGAGAATCTGGAGCTTGTAACTGCCAGAAGGCCTTCTACCAGTCACACTCACACAGGGGGTTAAATATGCTCGTTCCAGAGCCCGAATCCCCTATTCAAGGCCTGGCTTCACCATTTGTTAACTGGGGGACCTTGGGAAAGTTAACTATACCTCTTGTAAGCCTTGATTTCTCCATAGGAAAAATTTAAATACTAGTAGTATTTCCCGCGAAAGCATGGAAGAAACCATTGAGCCTCATTCCTGCACAGCAGAGGTACTCAATGATGCTGTGAGGGTTTGTGCTAGAGGCTGGTTAGAGAGGAGTAGAGAGGGGAATGAATGGAGGGTTAGGAGCCTGTTTTCACTGACAGGAAAGAATGGAATGAGGGGAAAGTTGTCAAAATAATGAGACCTTTTTTTTTTATTATTATTCTTTTGGTTGAATGCTGAGAGTGTGTCTGCTCTCTACCAAGCTCAGTTTCAGGCCCTGAGAAGGTAGCAGTGAATAAAACATATAAACTCTGTCCTCATGGAACATGCCTCCATTGTACGAGAGAAGACAGATAAATAAGTAAAATAGGTCCTCTGCTAAGTAGAACTGGGAAGAGGGGGAAGAGAGTTGATGAAGTATAGGTTTAAGTGCAGGGCCTGCGGCAGGTTAAAGGGGAGGCTGTGCAGACACCTGGGAGAGGAGCTGTGACATGGGCTGGGCAAAGAGCTCCGGGAGGGCGTAGGGGACAGGTGATAGGATCTTGAGGATCAGGTTGTCTTTAGCTTTTAGTCTGAGAAAAGAATCCATAAAGGTTTTTGAGGAAGGTGTCGACATGAAGTATATTCATATGGACAAGGAAAATTAGAGCCTACATGGGAAGCAAAAACTATGACTTATAAGGAAACAGCGATGCTAAAACCATTCACATCTTCTCATCAGATAGCCAAGGCAGGAAAAAGTTTGCTTCGCAACTTCTCCAGGAAAGCAACCCAGGCAAGATAAAGGGGCAATTGTCTGAGCGTCCTCCAGGGCCCTGACTGTCAGATAGGCCATGGAGAATGAAGCCTAGGGCTCACAAATATAATCTTGTCCTGAAAGTCACCACATTCACATGTCACTGAGGTCACAGAAATGGCAAAACTGGTGTTTTTTGTTTGTTTGTTTTGTTTGTTTGTTTGCATATGTATGTTTTTTGTTTGTTTGCTTGCTTTAATTGACTTAAGAGAGAGAGAGGGAGAAGGAGAGGGAGAGAAACATCAATGAGAGAGAAATATCCTCCTGCTTGCCCCCTACTGGGGATCCAACCCACAACTTGGGCATTTACCCTATAGGGAATTGAATCCATGACCTCCTGGTGCTTAGGACCATGCTCAACCAACTGAGCCACACCAGCCAGGCAAAGCTGATTGTTTTTATGTTCTCCTTTCAGCATAGTAGAGGGCAAAGAACACTGAGCTCCAAGTCAGGAGGAGGCTTGAGGCTGGGTTCAGTGTGAGGGAGCTATGAGCTATGGTCTCACTCCCAGGCCCAGGCTATGTGTTGGGTGGACCTCTCCCCATCTGGGGGTTCTAAGATCCTTATCATTTGTGAACATCAGTCTTTGTCCTGCTTTCACTGCTTCCAGATCTCCACACCCCACATGGTTCCTTTTACCTAATAAACTTGACTTTATTTTGCCATTTCCCATCCGTTTATCAATCATCAGGCCAAAAGATAACTTATTTTCAAGAGCTATGGTAGAGTAAATATAGAAAAAAATGTTAAATTGAAAAATTACTTTTAAAAGTCGTTTTTGTAAACTTCGCTGAATGGAAAGTTGATTAGAATTTTTCTACATAATGCCGGATGACGGGAAGTTTAAACAAGAAGGAAAAGGCATCAAGATCTTTAAGGTTACTCCTCTTTCTAAATGTGAAAGAGCACTGGCTTCCAGAACTCTGAATCGCTGCCAGTGTGTGGTGTTAAAGGAGCACTTAGCAGTGGAAAAGGAAATAGCATTTGAAGCTTGCATTCATCCTAAGGCAAGCTTCAGCTGTTATCTCCACCCTGGAAATAAGTTATCCTGAATGGCTGCAGAGGAACATATTCCTTTTTGAGGACATTGGTGATACCTTTACGTTCTGAGTCTAGGGTGCATTTTAGAAACTGATAAAATAATAGAACTTTTCAATGGAGTGGCATCTCCCTGGGCCCTTTGACTGTAGCATTCCTACTACCTGATGGGCAAAGGGAGGCGCTCACAAACTAGGGCAGAGGAGCCGCCACATGCCCAAGCTTCAGGAATTCCTAATTAGACTTACACACTTCACTTTCAAATTCTTTTTAACTCCTCTCACAAATACTGAGGTTCGATAGATGATACACACATATGTATTATACATACATTTGTACATATACCTGAATAACTCATTGAATGATAGATAAAATAGATGGATAGTACTCTATCAATTATTGATTTTTTTTAGTTTTTAAACATGTGAGTTTAGTGTTCTCTTTCCCTTATCCCCCCATTTCCTTCATTGTATTATATGTCAGAGAAATTTATTTTTATGATATCAATTATTCAGTCTTATAAAAACTATTCTTTTATGGTTGGCTTGGGGTTTTAAATATGACCATAGAGCAAGTCTGTTAATCAAGCAGTTTAAATCTTTTACATTTCACCTCATTTTTATCAGATAGATCTATAACTTCTAACAAAGGTAACTTAAACTCTCCTAATGTTTATGGATTTATCAGTGTCTCCTTATAACTCTGTTATATTTTATATTGACTTATTTGAGGCTACACTGCTAGGTGAATAAAAGTTCAGACTTGTTTATATATTTCTGATGAATTGATATCATTGAGTAATGGTCATCTTTAGTTGTAATAATGCATTTTTTCCCACAAGTCTTTTTTCCCCGGATATTAGCATTGCTATACCATTGTTTTTATTTTGATTAGTAACTTTCTATTATCTTTACTATTACCTTTCAAATTTTATTTGACTTGAGGACATGTATTTTTCAATTCTGGAATATTTTTATCTATCACCTTTTCATTTCATTTTCCCCATTTTCTCAACTTCCTGTTTCTACAACCCTTATTCAAATATGTTGAGCCTTCTTAATCCATGCTCCATCTCTGTTAACTTCTCTTTCTCACATTAAATTTCTATCTTTCTCATTCTGCAAGGCATTCTGGACAATTTTCCCAGACCTGTTTTCCAGTTGACTAATTTTTTTAAAGATTTATTTTTAATTATAGTTGACATATAATATTATATTAGCTTCAGGTGTACAACACAGTGATCCAATATTTACATACCTTACTAAGTGATCACCACAATAAGTTTTTAACCATCTGTCACAATACATAGTTATTATAATATTATTAGTGGCCAGGTACACAGATTCATGCACATTGAAAGGAAATTAATTAGAAGGTGGCTGCCAGGGCAGGACTGTGTGACAACTGGACATGCTCTGGAGCCAACCTCCCACGGTTGAAGGGTGTCTGCAGTCACTGCAGCTCTGCAGTAAACCAGATTTGGGGCCAACAGGACCATAACTCACGGCTGAAGGTGAAATTGCACAGCCCATCTAGGAATTGAGCTCCCTCCTCTCTGGTTCCAGGGTGCATCACCCGAGAACTGATGCTGCCAAGTCACAGCAGCTCAGCAGCTCCTGTGTTGAGTGTCTGCCCCCCATTGGTCATTGTGCATCATAGGTACCACCAGACAGTCGGTCAGTTGTTTAGCCTTTTATATATGTAGATTGACTATATTTCCTATGCTTTACTTGACATCCCTGTAACTTATTTTATAACTGGAAGTTTGTACTTTTTAATCCTCTTCCTCTATTTCTCTGACATCCCACTCTTCATCGCTCAGAAAACCATCAGTTTATTTTCTGTACCTATGAGTTGGCTTCTCTTTCATTTTTTTTTCAATAATGTGTTTTTTTAAATATATTTTTATTGATTTCAGAGAGGAAGGGAGAGGGAAAGAGAGAGATAAAAGCATCAACGAGATAATCATCGATCAGCTGTCTCCTATACACCCCTACTGGGGATTGAGCCCACAACCCAAGTATGTGCCCTGACTAGGGAATCAAACTGTGATTCCTGGTTCATAGGTCAATGCTCAATCACTGAGTCACACCAGCTGGGCTTGTTTTTTAGAATCCATATATAAGTAGAATCATATGGCATTTGTCTCTCTCTGGCTTATTTCATTTAACATAATATTCTTTAAGTCCATCTATCTTGTTGCAAATGGCAAGGTTTCAATCCTTTTTTTTTTTTTTTTTTTTTTTTTTTTTTTTTTTTTTTTTGCTGAGTCATATTTCATTGTATATATGTACCACTCCTTTATTAATTCACCTATTGATGGACACCTACATTGCTTCCATATCTTGGTTATTGTAAATAATTCTGCAGTGAACATGAATATATCATTTAAATTATTGAGATTATATTTTTCTTCAGATAAACACCCAGCAATAGAATGCTATATCATACAGTAAGTCTGTTTTTAATTTTGTGAGGAATTTCCATACTCTTTCCTGTAGTGGCTGTACCTAATTTATAATCCCACCAACAATGCAGGAGAGTGCTCTTTCCTCTACACCTTGCCAACACTTGTTATTGTTGTCATTTTCATGGTAGCCTTTCTGAAGGTGTGAAGTGAATCACCTCTTTGTGCTTTCGATTTCCTTTTCCCTGATGATCAGTGAGTGATGTTGAGCACCTTTTCAGGTATCTGTTGGCCACCTAAGTGTCTTCTTTGGAGAAATGTTTATTTGGGTTCTTTGCCCATTTTCACTGGATTATTTGCTTTCCTGATAGTTTTTGGTATATTTTAGATATTAACCACTTGCCAGATTTATCATTTGCAAATATTTATCCCATTCAGTTGGGCTGTCTTTCTTATCGACGGCTTTCTTCACTTTGCAAAATATTTTAAGTTTAATGTAGTTACATTTTGCTTTTGTTGTCTTTGCCCAAGGAGATATATCCAAAAATGTATAGCTTAACACTAATGTTTCTTCTTTTGCTGATTCAATTCTGACACTTCATTCATCCCATGAGTAGAGTTTTTCTGGTCCCTTTTGTATAAAGATAATTAATGCTATAAGCTCTCAGCTGAATCACTCTCAGTTTTATTCCTCTCTTATACCAGAGACCTCTTCTACCCCATGTGAAAAAAACAAAACAAAAACTTCCACCTCAGACCAATATCCAGGTTCAATACTATTTTTGTGCTTCCACTTACTATTCTAAATTGGAGTATCTTTATCGGTTATCATATACTTGAAGATGCTCTTGTATTTCTTTTAACCTTGCTATATATTTTTAACAGTTTTATGTATTTTTCCAGCATCACTCTATGTCTGAAGTGGGAGGGGTTCCCTTCTGTATTCCACTCAGGCCGTTAGAGTCCTGGAAGTTTCATACCTGAGCCTGATATGTATAATGTATCAGTATTGCTCAAAGAATTGCCTTCATTGGTATTTATACTTGAGTTTATTTCAGCATTTTTAGTTCTAAAATAAATAGCTTTAAAAAGCAAGGAGAATGTATTGTAGACTAATTCTGAGTTGCAACCAGCACACTGCCAGGTTGTCATATAAAAAAATGTGATCATATGATCAAAGCAGCCTTCTAACTGATTAGAGAATTTGAAGAATAACTTTTTAAATCCTAGTTACTTTCAAAAGAAAGTAACTAGAATTTACTTTTCAAAAGAAGAACAGGTTTATTTATAAGTGTTGTTGTTATTATCTGGATGAAATAGCACATGAGATATTACAAAACAAAAACAGATGAGATTTTAAGTTTGAAAATTGTTATTAAGATAATCAGATTTCTGAAATTCAAATTTTAGTGTTTGGTAACTTTAAACATATCCCAGGGATATTAGCTCAGAAGAGAAGACACAAAAAAGTCAACTGTTATTATGATTCATCATATAGTAAACAAGTGCTTAATACTCCTCCTTGAACAGCAACAAATTATGTTTTGGAGCTTAGCGATTATGGAGAAAACTGTTTTCAAGAATGTTATCTAAAATCATACAATTATCCAAAAGGATGCAGCTATCTATCTATAGAAATATAAATCTAGAGATCCTAAGATACGGTAACTTGGAAAGCAGCGAGAATTAGGGATTAATTACAGGTTACTTGGGTGGACTCCATTGTCACAGAATGTCAGGTGGATTATTTATTCACCACATGTTATCTCCACCATTCTTCTACCTGTATATTAGCTACTTTTGGTACTACTTTTATAAGATTCCTATGTCTGGGAAAGTTCATTCTTAGCAGTGGACTCTATCTAACAATGATATTTTTACTACCATTATTATTCCTCTCCTAGAAACCAAATAGGATTGCTCCCCTTTCCTTCCCTCTTTATTGGGCTTTCCCCCAATTTGCAGTAAGGATCCAGGAAGCCTTGGGGTTTGATCTGCCTTCTGTTGCTCTGTGCTGTGTGACATTTCTGACTCCTCTGTGCTGACATTTATACATAACCTTTCAAATGACAACTAAGTGCTTCTGAGAGAGGTCTGGGGTATCTCCTTAACATGATAGCAACTCATCTTAGCAAATCCTCAAACAACAACAACAAAAACAACAAAAACCTTTCAAATCACTGGACCTTACTTCCCTGATTTAAAAGGGCTCACTCCAATTTCCTAAGCTCTGCAGAGACAGAGTTTAGAAATATATTTGTACCCCTGTCCTATTGCACGTGAATAAAACCACTTTATCTTTTACTTCCTCCCCAATCCTTTGTAGCTTAGAGCAGCGGAACTTGACGTTGGAAACAGAAATGATGAATCTCCATGATGAACTGGATCAGGAGAGGAAAAAGTTCACAATGATAGAAATCAAAATGCGGAATGCAGAGCGAGCGAAAGAAGATGCTGAGAAGAGAAATGACATGCTTCAGAAAGAGATGGAGCAGTTTTTCTCCACATTTGGGGAGCTGACTGTGGAACCCAGGAGAACCGAGAGAGGAAACACGATATGGATCCAGTGAGCCGGCTCTCTCCCGCTGTCTCTGGTGGATCTGGGAAGGATTCTGGGTTCCGGTGGGAGGATCACGTGGGATCGGGTGACAGGTCACCTGGCTGTACAGTGCTCTGACTGGTGAAGGAATATCATTTACAGACATTACCTATCCATATCTGCAATGTGTACCAAAGTTATATCACGCCCCATATGCTACTGTCAAGTGTTACAACTGGATATGTGTATATAGAGTAGTTTTTTGAAAAGTAAACTAAAAAAATGAGAAGCATATCTCAAGAATTATTTTATTGCAAGTCTTGTATTTAAAAATGTTAATTCAATATGTTGTTGCAATTTAGCTTGCTTTCAAGCTTCACTCCTTGCACTTAACATAAGCTATTTTTGGCATTGTGTTATCATCAGCTTATTTTATAGATCAATATTTTTATTTCCCTTCTTTTTGCTGAGGAAATGAAGATAAGCAGATATATAAAAGTATATATAAATATATATGAGATGAGTTATTAAAAACAAAAGAATACTTTGTGGCTGTGCTATTTGTGCCAATAGACCTTACCATGACCAAAAAAAAAAAAAAAAGAAGAAGAAGAAGAAATGTAAAACGTTCTATGAAATACAGTGGAATCACCAGGAACCTTTGAGCTGCTCTGTCAATTCTTCCCTCGAAACTGCTCAGTTTGCTTTGTGATGATTTGGCACTGGCCATGTGGGATCGTATAAAAAAGGGCCCTTTCTTCAGGCCCCTGGTCTGCTTGGCCAGCTCCACAGATGTTAGTCTGCTACGTAGGATGCACCTTAGATGGGCAAAGTGGGAAAGAAAAACATTTCACCAGTCATCCCTTGAGTTACTCTGTCCTTCTGACCTGAGTCTCTGTAATTGCTGGACGGTTACCTGCGAAAGTCTTCCTGCGCTTTGAGAGTTAGGAGAAAGGCTTAAACCACTTGCCCCACCCCTGCAATGCCGTTTTCTGAGCACCTGCCTTCCACTCAGAACTCCCCTCCACCCCGCGCCCCCGGGTGACTGCACTTTGGGGCTTGTCACTCTCAGTGAAATAGGTGTTCTGTGACCCTCTCAGTTACACCACTGGAGTGTGTACCACTGAGTGACATTCTCCTCTCAGTCAGACCGATTGTTGTGTTGTCACCTGGGATTCTCCCTGAAGGACACGGAGGGCAAAGGCATGTTGCAGCAAGAGAGAGGTGATGGAGGGAGGGCAAGGGGACCAGCAGGAGGAGGAGACAGAAGAAATGAACTAACCATTTTGCTTCTGCTTTTTACAGTATTGTTTTTCCCTGTTGGAAACATAGTCATTCACAGTAATTTTAAAATGAGAATGCTTCAAGATCCAATTTTGATGACTTTATGAATGTTAGTCATGATAACTTTCTAGAAAAGCTCATGTTTCTCAGGAGTGAGAGTTTGGGGTTACATGTCAATAAGACAATGTTTTTTTTTGTTTTTTTTTTATGATGCCAAACAAATACATCTTTCTCAAAAGAAAACAGAAAGTCACCTTTAAAGGCATAATTGAAAATAAACACCACTTGAGCTTATGGGATTGGTGTGTTTGAAGGTTCTGTGTTTGTGTGTGTTTCTTTTTATCAATGGGAAGAGGATCCTTGATAGCATTCGTGCTTGTCACTGTGCTGCTTTGGTTTACAGCCCTTCAAGGATCAAGCTTACGTGGTCCTTTAGTATCAACCACTGTGTACATACAAATGCCCAGTCAGGAGAAGAGTGTGTACAGGAGGCAACCAATCGATATGAGAAACCCATTGATGTTTTTCTCTTCCCCACCTTCTCCTCCACTCTCTCTTAAAAAAAAAAAAGAAAAAAATCAATAGAAAAAAAATATCCTTGGATAAGGATTAAAAAAATAGATACTAGAATTATACTGAGTGGCCAGATTATTATGATCTCTGAACACACATACACACACACACACACACACACACACACACATATGCACACACATATATACACACATATACACATATATACACTAGAGGCCTGGTGCACGAAATTTGTGCATGGGAAGGGGGTGTCCCTCAGCAACCTGTATCCTCTCCAATTTGGGACCCCTTGGGGGATGTCCGACTGCCTGTTTAGGCCTGATACATGGGATCAGGCCTAAACAGGCAGTCGGACATCCCTTTCACAATCTAGGACTGCTGGCTCCTAATTACTCGCCTGCCTTCCTTCTTGATTGCCCCTAACTGCTTCGGCCTGCCAGCCTGATCACCTCCTACCCACTCCCCTGCCAACCTGATCAATGCCTAACTGCTCCCCTGCCAGCCTATTCATCCTCAACTGTCTCCCCTGACACTCTGGTCACCCCCAAATGCCTCCCTTGCATATTTCCTCTTTATTAGATAGGGTTTTTTTCTTTAGCATATTGGACAGTCCTAACTGGTTTGGCTCAATGGATGGAGCATTGGCCTGCAGACTCAAGGGTCCCAGGTTCGATTCCACTCAAGGGCATGTACCCTTGGTTTGGCGGCACATGGCCATTGGAGAGTGTTCAGGAGGCAACTGATCAATGTTTCTCTCTCATAGATGTTTCTAGCTCTCTATTCCTTTCCCTTCCTCTCTGTAAAAAATCAATAAAATATGTATTTTAAAAAAGAAACATTTAAAATTCCTCCATATCTGCCTGGTTGCTGTGACTCAATGGTTGAAACCCCAGGCTGCCACCACTGGAAGAGGATTGCACCCTGGCCAGGCTGAGAACCCAGCCCAGGCTGCCACCACTGGCCTGAAGATCAAGTGGCAGGGGTCATGGCCCTGCCAGCCTGAGACCCCAGCCCATGATGCCACCACAGCTTTTGTGCATGGCCCTGCCAGCCTGACACCCCAGTACAGGCTGCTGCCTCTGGCCAGGATCAAGCTGGGCACTGGTGCCTCCCAGCCAGACACCCCAGGCTGCAGTCACTGGACACGGATCGCTGCATGGGGGTCAGGTGCCTCCCAGCAGACACCCTGGACTGCTACTGCTGGGTGAACTTGAGGACTCTGGCAGGGCTATGAGGACCGGGTGCCATCATCTTGTGGCTATGGGTGCCGCCATTTTGTCATGGAATGATGGTTAATTTGCATATTATTCTTTTATTAGAATGAATATATATATATATACACTTCAATGGTATATATATATATATACATACATACATATATATATATATGTATATATATATACCATTGAAGTTTCATTGTACCAAACAATTTATCCTTACATGATGAGACCTGAAAACACTTAAGACCCAGGCACTGTACTGTTTTATTCAAAGAAAATAGCAAAAATTGGACACATTTTGCCTTTTTTGAACTCACAAATATAAGAAAGGAGTGTTGGAACTGTGCTCCCAAAGGTCCTATGATTCTCTCTGTGATCTTCTTAATTTTACAAGTGGGCAAGGGGTCAGGGGTGGGGTGGGGAGGATGAGTTGAAAATTAGAACTTCCCAGTTTAAGGGCCTCCTGCTACAAAGTAACTTAGACAACTGGTAATCCCCAGGAAGCCAAAACCTGAACCTACTATAGATCTTGAAGTAGCAAGTTTAACTCATGAAAACTGTGTTTTTTAATGCATCATTTATGTGGCTCAGGTCCAGGGCTAAATGACACTATGTACTGTGTATTTAGCTCCTTCAGCTCATTATAGAAAGGGTTACCTTTCCTAAGTAAAGAGTATCAGTAACAGAGAATACTGAATTGCCTGATTAAGCAGTCAAACTGAGACTGTTTGCCTTGAGCAAAGTTGTCTCTTAGCTCTGAGGGAGGCTTTTGATGAACTACCTATTCTTGTGAAAATATCATGTTTATCTTGGCCCTTTCTTCTCAACACACACATGCCTTGCCCCTTCCTTCACTAGCATTGATTATGTACCACACCACCATGACCTCATCCTTTAGTACCTATTGCCAAAATAGTCCAAACTCCCATGTCATTTACTTTTACCTATATGCTTATCCCTATATGCTTATCCTCAGCATATTCCCTCATTTGCTTCAAATACTAATCCCCTCACCACTTTATACCTTTCCATTACACCTTCTAGACCTTATAGCTGGCTTCACCATCAACTAAGTCTCAGTGATGCAGTTACCTCCTGATGGCATCACTCACCTTGAAGCTCACTCAAGGATGACTAATTTGTCTTCCCACAGCCTGCATGTCGCCAGCCTGAAGGAGAGGTAGGTCTTGCTTTGCTCTTTGCTTCAGCTTCCACACCTTTGCTCTTCCCTCCTCCCTAATAACCTCTTTGGAAGTACAGGCCTCATGACAATATTTTAACACCTAATCAACTATGCCCCCATCCCCAACTTGGCTACTCAGCTTTTTGACCTGCTCAGCATCTCCAATTCCTTACTCAAGCCCATCACACCTTTCTAGACTGTCATCCCTACACTGAACTCATTTCCATTCTTATCTTTCTTCCTAATATCCTCTGTTCACTGAACAGCCAGAGGGATCTATCTAAAGGAAAATTTAGATTATATTTTCCAGCTCATATCTATTCAGCATCTTTTGTTATTTACACTAATAAAAGAATAAGATGCAAATTGACCATATCTTTGTGACACCCACCAGCCAATCAGGAGTTAGCATGCAAATTAACCCAACAAAGATGGCAGGTTAATTTGTATATGCAGATGCCAGGAAGGCCTCTGGACAGCATGGGAATGTGAAAAGGTGGCTCTGGCAGGAGTGAAGGTAGTGCTGGCAGCCAGGGTAAGGAAGGCCCATTCTTACACAAATCTTCGTGCATCAGGCCTCTAGTTTAGAATAAAATTCCAAGATCTTGACATGTTTTTTGACCCCTGCTTATCTCTCCAATTTTATTTGCTACCACACTTTCTCTTTCTTGTCCTTTCTGCTTCATCCACAAGGCTCTCTGCCATTCCTATATACAAGCTAGCTCTAGGGCCCTTGTATTACTAGTACTTTCCCCTCAGTCTAAAAATGCTTTTCCTCAGACACTGACATGGCTCCCTCCCTTACTTTGTGTCTCTTCCCAAATATCACCCCTTCTGAGACACCTGCCCTATCTATACCTTGTCTAAATAGTAGCCCTTATGACACCTTATCCTCTTAACCAGCTTTGTCTTCTTGGTTTTTCCCATTAGCTTACTCCTCCATTAGGATGTGGAATACATCAAGGCAGGAAGGGTGCCTGAATTCATCACAATGAACAGTTTTCAGAAGACAGAAGCAGTCAATCATCAATACCTGTGGCATGAATCAATTTGTGATCTGAGTGAATGTTCACAGCGCAATGTCAGATTTCTGGTTCAGATATTCAGGGATGTTCTGAGTTGGATCTTTTAACAGAAAATAATAAATGACTACATTTTACCTTCTGTTACTTTAGGGCTTTACCCATCATAAAAGACTGCATAAATTTCAGAGATTGTGTGTAATATGACAGTGTCACTGCAGAGTGACTCCAGTATCCATTTATATATTTTGATGTCATTTGCTGATTTGGTGATTGTGATGCTAGAATTATGAGCCTTGAACTCAATATCCAAGCTCAATAGCTCTCAGAAAAAACATAGATCAACAATCTACTTTATGTAATACAGAAAAGAAACATCATGCTATGCTGTTATTGTCAATATTTTTTTTTTGCCTCCAAACTTTTTACCTATTTTTTCTAGGATACAAATATTGCAGGTTATTCTTAAAGTCTCGATATGACAACACATTTCTCCCTTTATCTGTGTAATGACGTCAGTTTAAAACAGACAAAAATATAGCACTCTCGCTTTTAATTAAAAGGACAATAGTGAA